AAAAAAAAAAAAAATAAATGAAAACAAATTCAGAAAGCATCAAATGGAACCAAGCCCCCCCCCCCCCCCCCCCAAAAAAAAAAAAAAAAACTTATGTTCTGACAAACCACGTTTAGAAAACATCTGTACGACTTCTCAGTGGTTCTACGACTCACCAATGGCTATATGAGCGATGGGCAGGACGCAGCCCCCCAACTTTGAACATGCTGCAAGAAAAAAAAAAGAAGTAAATTCATGGAGTAATTTCTACCAATAACGACGTATGAAATGAAAATGTGGACGTTTAATGTGATAAAATCTTACTCAGTACGGGCGTCGATGGTCGAGGGGCGTTGCGGATCCGTTGAAAGAAATTGCTCATGATCGATCACGAGTTCTCTAACCTGCAAAGGCGGAAGAAAAAGGAAACGTGAGAGACACGGAAGTTTTCAACGAGACGGGTCGTCAAGACGGAATGCATGATGCGTTCGTCATCTACTTCAAAGATGTGAACGTGTGTGCAGCAAAAAGGTTTTAAATGATCCGAGACGATTCAAAACATTCTCAAAGAGGGAGCAGTCAACATAAAGGTCAACGTTCGTGATAGTTCCTGTTATTTAGCATTCCAGTTGAACGTGTCTAACAATACAATCAAACGTCCTTCATGTAAACCCTCACGTCTTTACGTGCCTGCATCACGAACTGAAACACGAAGCGACTTTTTATAACCCGTGTGTCTTTTGTAACTAGAAAGGGCTGGGCGATATCTCGATATTTAAAAAAATCTCGATATAAATATCGTATATCGCCGTTCATCTTAAAATAAAGATATTAATTTTGGTCTATATCGCCTAGACGTATAACGAGAGATGGGCCTTTTATTTCTATTTTTTGAGCCAGTTTCAACCATTTTTTCATATTTGAATATACCCTGCCTGGTCAATAAAGGGTCACACAGATATTTCATTGGGTCACATTTATTTTTGCCCAGAGCGCCATTCGTTATTCGCCAAGATCTCGTATCGATGACAGGCTGTTCGGACCACTGCGCAAAATGTTCTTCGGCACATCCCAAAGATTCTCACTGGGGTCAGGTCTGGACTCTGCTAGTGGCCAGTCCGTGTCTGAAAATGATGTCTCGTGCTCCCCGAACCACTCTTTCAAAATCTGAGGCTGGTGAATCCTGGTGTCATCTTGGAACATCCGAGGAGCAGACTGCATTGAGTCTTAACTTTGTTGCAAACTCTCATCCAGTGCAAGCATGAAGGCAACAGTGGAAAGGAAAAACTCCCTCATGAGGAAGAAACCTTTAGCAGAACCAGGCTCAGGACAAGTGGTCATCTGCTTCGATCGGCTAGGTTTGAGAGGAACAGGAAGGAGGAACAGATACACAATGGAATGTGGAAAATCACGTTATAGAAATGTGCATAAAATAATGCATACCACGAGAACCGATCAACAGAAGACGCCATCTGTTCTGTGGTCCACACTGCTCTCACCCACCTGGAGCAGAAGGACTCCTACGTCCATATGCTCTTTGAGGACTTTACGTCTGCCTTCAACACCATGATCTCCCAAACCCTGATGGACAAAATGTTCACACTAGGACTAAGCCCCTCCATTTGCAACTGGGTCCTAGACTTCTTAACAAACAGACCTCAGTCTGTGAGGATCCACAACTTCTCCTCCTCCACCATAACCCTCAGCACTGGCTCTCCTCAGGGCTGTGTGCTGAGCCCTCTTCTGTTCACTATGATCACGTATGATTGTGCAACTACCCATCCAGGCTGTTGTAAAGTTTGCAGATGATACAGTGGTGGCGGGATGCATCACAAACAGTGATGATTCCAGCTACAGGTAGGAGGTGGAATACCTGGAGAGCTGGTGCAGGAAGAACCATTACATCAATGTGAAGAAGATGTAGGAGATGGTCGTGGACTTCAGACGGAACAAACACACCTCCCCCCAGTGATCTCCAGCTACAAGTACTTGGGTGTACACATGAATGACAACCTCAGCTGGAGCAACAACACCACCAGCCTGATCAAGAAAGCTCATCAGAGACTCTACTTCTTTAGGTGGCTGAGACGAGCTGGTCTGGGAAGCTCAGTCCTCACCTCCTTCTACAGGTGTGCAGTGGAGAGCATCCTGTGCTCCAGCATCAACGTGTGGCATGAAGGCTGCACAGCTGCAGAAAGAAAAGCTTTGCAGAGAGTGGTGAAGGTTGCACAGAAGTCTGTTGGAGTGTCTCCCCACCATCACAGCCATCTACACCTCCAGATGCAGGAAGAGGGCCACCTGCATCATGAAGGACCCCACACACCCAGCACACACTTTTTGCCCCGCTCCCCTCAGGAAGGAGGTTAAGGAGCATTAAGTGTAGAACCACTAGACTGAGGAACAGCTTCTACCCTGAAGCTGTTCCCGGTCTGGGGGCCTTGGGTGGAGTTTGCATGTTCTCTTCGTACATGCGTGGGTTTTCTTCAGATACTCTGGTTTCCTCCCACAGACCAAAAACATGCATGTTAGGCTGATTGGTAACTCTAAATTGTCCCTAGGTGTGAGTGAGAGAGTGAATGGTCGTTTGTCTCTATGTGTCCCTGTCCAGGGTGTCCCCCGCCTCTTGCACAGTTTTGGCTGGACATGGGCACCATTGACCCCTGCGACCCAAAAAGGAAGAAGCGGGTAAAGATAATGGATGGATGGACCTGAATTGAGCTGGGACATTTACCAGTTTGGGAAATGTTCCAGTGCTCCCAATGGCCAGTCTGTCCCTGGGCGCTGAGTGGCTCAGTAACGTAGCATCAGTCTGTCTGCTCTCTTACGCTGTGCTCTTTTAGAGTGTTTAGAACGTTAAGAACATTGCAAGCATGGGAAGGGTTTATAAATCCTAAATATAAATATATATATATATATATA